GCTCGGCGGCCGCGGCCCGGGCGTGTGCACGTTACGACCGGGCAGCATCCAGAGACTGGAGGGCAGGGAGGCTTGAGCACAGCTGCCCTGCCCGCGCAGCCGGTGAACCTGGCAACCGGTGAACTGTGCTCTAAGTCCTGGCTTTGGGGTTTCAACCGCGAAACGCCAGAGGGGTCACTTCATCCTGACACTGTCCACCTCCTCCGTGGCCTGCAGGCCGCTGGTTCTGAGGTCGAGCTCGGCGCTGGACTTGCTCCCGAGGGGGGAGGGGCGCCAGCGGAGCCGCATCGCCTTCCTGAAGTACTTCCGGGTGCCGTCCTTGACGGCCACGAAGCACACGGTGTTGACCACGCTGTTGCTCATGGCGATGCACTCCACGACGTAGAAGGCCGTGAGGTAGTGCTTCTCCCGGACGAACAGCGAGGGGAAGAAGTCGCGCACGATGGCGAAGCCGTAGAAGGGCGCCCAGCACAGCACGTAGGCGGACAGGACGCACAGGAGCACCAGCACCGTCTTCCGGCGGCAGCGCAGCCGCTTCCGGATCTGCTCCGTCTGGAAACCCGGGACGGCCTTGAACCAGAGTTCCCGCGAGATGCGGGCGTAGCACAGCGTCATGGCGACCACGGGGCCCACGAACTCCACGCCGAAGATGAAGAGGAAGTAGGACTTGTAGTAGAGCTGCTGGTCCACCGGCCAGACCTGGCCGCAGAAGGTCTTTTCCCGGCTTTTGACGATAAAGAGGGCCGTTTCCGTTGCGAAGTAGGCCGACGGGATGGCGATGAGAACGGACACGGCCCAGACCGAGGCGATGAGGAAGGAGGCCGTCTGGTAATTCATCCGGGGTTTCAGCGGGTGGACGATGGCGAGGTACCTGTGGGCGAGGGGAGCGACCCGTGATCATGTGCCCCTGAGAACACTGTTAGCTTCTGACTAACCCCAGACACACACGAAAGCAGGCAAAGTGTTGCGTAAGTCCCCGAGCACCTATGCATCCAGCTTCCACAAGCTTTGTCTTATTTTAGCAACGTCGTTTGGCATTTGGAGGAGTGGAGTGGCTTAGAGGAAACGGCGTAGGACTCGGGCCAAACGGACGGAGGAAATCCCAGCTTTTCCCCTGGTTGGCTTCGGGGTCTGGAGTGAATCCCTCAGTCTCTCTGAGATATGTTTCCTCAACTGCAGCAGGGGATAAAAAGGACACCTACCTGGCAGGGCTGCAGGGAACATTAAATAAATTAATGTTTGTAAAATGCTTGGCATGTAGTCGGTGTTCAAGAAGTACATGTGGCCTATTATTATCATAAGTCCTAGGAATACCACCTTGGCTTTCAAATCTTGCCATTTTGCCCAAGAAGGTAATACTTTGAAAACTTTTCATTGCAAATATCTCATGGTTTAGAGAGGTGGGGGCCGTTCGCAAGGCAGTGGACTAGGGCTTTCTCTCTCCTCCCATCCTGGTACCATCCTGCATTACAGAGCAGAAGAGAAGGGGTGGGCTTGGGATGGAATCTAAGGAATCTAATGAGAAGTAAACGATTTGCCCAAGCTCACTTGGTGCGGGGACCAGAACCCAGGCTCCTGATACAAAGCTTTTACACCCGGCTCCTTGGGCTTTCTCTCAAGCTTAGATGGGGGG